CTAATAGCTATAGGCTTTTCAGATCCAGGCCTTCTTACATCTTTTCTTTCTGTTGCAGCACAGGTCTTGTTACATAAAAAATAGTGCAGATTATGATAGCTACCCTAGTAAAAATGATCACTGAAAATCTGGGCTGCCAGTAGAAAAATCAAACCAGGGCTTTTAAAAAGTCAGTATAAATCTGGTTGATAAAGGACACTTAATGTAGCTGCATTGGTGCATAGAATGGCCTATGTGTCTTTTTCCCTAAGTTTCCCTGTAAGAAGAACCTGACCTAAATGATTAATATTCATGTAGTTGGATCAATTTGTTTAAATACTTAGGGGTCAGAAGAACAAGTCTGAGACATGAGATGTTACTACAGATAATCTGTCTCCAGTCAGCTTGTTGTGCTTTTATGTGTTTGTAGCAACTCGGACTGAGACTCTAGTACATAATCAGTATATGGAAATAAATACTTTAAATTATATAACATCAATATTTTATGTTTTAAAATACCACACTAAATTATTGAAAAGTTCACAACACCCACTGTTTTTATGATTAAATACTTGAATAGAGTTAATTTATATGTCAGCAGCCAGTGAAGGTGATATTCTATGTCCATATTGATCTGTCACACTGCATTGCTCTGGTTCATTATGTCATCTTGTCTGTTAGTATCTACAGATGAAAATGGATTATACTCTTTTGAGTGGGCCATAACATTAATGATGAACAAAGATTAATTTTGATTTAAGTTTAAGATTCATTGTGTCTGGATGCAGGGGGTAATGCTCTTACATCCATGGTTTTTGATCCACCGTAGCTATAAGCTCCTGCTGCTTCCTGAATCAATTCCACCCTCTTTGCCTTTGAAAACATTGTTGCTGCACCTTGGCTATTTTTGCATATTTGCCCTTTGTTGTGTTATGCTCAGTTATGCTCAATTGATTGCTACATTTCTTTTTGGTTCTAGATCTACCAGAAGCTATTCTCATGCAGTTAAAAATGTAAAAATTGTAGTCACTTGACGGGAGCTGTTATAAAAGGACATTCACTGCAGTCAATATTGGTATTATCATAACATTGCTTACTCATACAGCAAAAAGTTATTTAACAGCTTGGTGAAGGGGACACAAGCAACATCCCTGAAAACCTCTTCTCTTTATGTTTCTTTTATTGTGTTACCAAAGCATTCCTAGGCAGTGATTCCTTTACAGTCTGAGTTAGATTATTCAGTAAATAGTCAAGTGTGGTGCGTGGTTTTGCTGTGACATAGGTCTGTTTTCTTATATGTGAGCAGGAAGGGAGTATTTATTTCACTCTGAATAGTTCTCTTGTGGCGGCCCTCAATTTCTGAATAACTTTCCTAAATTTTCTGATTTACTAAATGTGGGTTGCTCTCAATTTAAGATAATACAGCCTTTGGGACACAAAAGATTCACAGTAGTTGTATTTCACTTCTGCATCTGTTGGTTGCCTTGTTTTTCATTAGAAAAAATACTTGTAATAAAATTTTGTATTCATCATGAGAAAAAAAAAGGAAATCAATGATACAATTTCTATGCACAGTCACATAATGACTTTTGAAATACAGCGTTGAGTGGGCAATCTTGTATGGGAAATAAAATTCAGATACTCTCTATTCTTTTTTTGTAAGCTTGTTGATGAATTCAGACTGAACTGCCTATAAAATTGTGTGCCTCCCTGAGTTATGCTGAGATTAACATAGCCCCATGCTATAAAGAAGCTACTGTGAAGAAAATTAACTCTTATCTCAGCCAAAACCAGCCCAGTAGTTTAAATTGGTTGCTTTTTAATTTCTTTATTCTCCTTAATTTCTGTAAGTCCCCTTTACAAAATTCCAAATTCAGCTGTCAATGGAAAAAGAAGTTTCTGGCAGTAAAAGCCTGATTGACCACAGGAGAGTGTTAACCTTGGAGAAGTCTGAAGGAAGACATCAGCTTTAGTGTAACAGACCATGAAAAGTAAAACTCTTATAGTGCAGAATATAGTGAATTTTAATAAAGATATTATCTGTTAAGATTTGTATGTGTAAGTGCTGGAAATACCTGGAGAAGTGAACACAATCCAACTGAAGATCTTTCAGTGGTGTGAAGGGCCTCCTAGGGGGCACTCTAGCTATGTATGAGTTCAGCTAAATAAAAACAAAATAAAATTAGAAAACTCAGAAATGAAGGAGGAATGCATTTAGACTTCTGACTAAGTTTGTTCTTTACATAGGATGTATTTAATTGATGAGTATGTGTCCTCTGAGTTAGATCTAGAAGGTTAAACATGCACTGATATGTTAACCACTTGGGAAGCTGCAAGTAAACAAAAACAGCACATCGACACCAGTAAAGAAGTTATTGGGATTTGTACCATTAAATAATTTTTCTCTCCAAATTTTATCTTAATATTGGGTTATTTAGAAATGATCTTTAAAGAAGCGAGAACATATTTGCACCACTTTCTTTATAATGAATAAAGAGAAAATACAGTTTCAGCCTTTTAAATGCACATCCGAAATAAGGCTATTATCTGTGATACAAAATTCAAAGGCTGTCTAAGAAAACAAATCCAATTATGGCTTAAGCACTTGAGAAAGTGAAATCTGATTTAATTACTTCTTTCAAAAGAAAATTATATCTTTCAACTTTCTGTTACTAAAACTTGACATTTATTTTTATCACTCTAAAAAAAGAACAAGCTTGGAAGAGAAGCTCCCTTCATGGAATTCACACTCGAATCTTTGGTACTTAATACTCAAGGCAAAAATTTGAGTCCTTAAACAAAACTATGATTGTCTAGAAAACAAGCCAGAAAAAAAGCTTTGATATAGATGGTACTTGTATTTTTTTAGGTACGGGGTTAGAAAATATTAATTTAAGCATTAGAAAGACCAAAATGGGCATGATTTTCATTTCATTATCTTCAGAAAAAGATCGTCGTTATTGCTCAACATGCATAAAAATAACAGCAGGCTTTACTTAAAGCAGTGAAAATATGCTATTATGACATTAAAAAAGTTGGAAGCGATGAAGTCACATTTCCATTTCATTTAAGAGTTCTGGAACTGTTTTAGGAGTGAACACAGCTTTACTTGCAGCTTTGCATTTTCAGGACAGCTAAGTACAGGTCCATTGCTCTTGCTGCTGCTCAGATGAGATCTGCCCAGTGCTCAGAGGAAGGGCTAAAGGACAGATAAGGGATGAGACATAAGGTTTTACCCTGTACAAATAAGATTCAGATGTTGGCTCAAATCCCATTTGCCTCCTTGGAACAGCAGTGCTTCATGTGAATACATTTGGCTTAGTTCCTGAATTATAAAATGGAGTTTGATAACCACTTACCTTATGGGTGCATTTCTCAGGAAATTAAACTGGAATCTTAAAAAGTTCATACATCTATATTAAAGCCCAAGAGTGACAGATAGTCATTTTACAGAAGAAACTTGAAAATATTTTTAGATTTAGTTGTGTATCATCCTAATGGAATAAATTAATTTCTTATTGGGCCGAATTGTAAGAGAGGCCAGGAAAGTGTGAGAGGAAATTTAATTTATATTGAATTGACTTTTTAAAAATTTTGATGCAAAACCCAATCAAAGATCTCTGTAGATGAGCAAAAGGAAAAGAATTTCTACTGTCACCTTAAAAACCTGTCAAATACATACTGGTTGTCCAAGTGAGTATCACCCAATTAATCCCACTGGTTTTATGGGAAGGATGAAATACTGTGAAGATATTTGTGAAGACTAATAGCCTTAGTTGAGTAGAGTGCCCTTTTTCTAATTTTCTAATTTAAACAATTAAAAATGTTCTTTAAAATCCATTATATCCTCATCAGACACTGACTTCTTTTGACCAATGATTTTTAGGAAATCTTAGTTTTAACATAAAACACAGAAGGTTGGAAGAACTGGGCAAAGGGAAAATTAACAGTGAGGAATGGAAGTAAACTGAAATGGTGGAAAGGATGAGAGTATTTGTGTGAAGTAACTACTTGTCAATTATTCAGCAGAGGGTCTTGTCTCCAGATAGGATCAAGCACACATTTCTATTGATGAGTACCATATAGGTAAACTTTGAGAAGTGAGACCTCAATATGTATGTTTTGGTTGTGCCCTATAATCTAAGTATTCTTAGAGTACTTGAAATATTATTACTAAGTAGTAGCAACTTCTTCAGATAACCATTTTTGGTTTTATTTGTCAGTTTACCTCTTGAAGATTTATCCAAATTAAATTTCTTTTGTGTGAAGTGATTTTTTTTTTTTTTAATTGGGCCTTTCTGCTGCTTACTACCTCAATCAGAAAATATGGCATGGGCAACACCAGAAATTTTTCTAATTTTGCGGGAAGTGTTTCATCAGGACAGGCTACTAGAAAAGAATTCTAGACACTTAGAAATGTAAATACCATTACTGACTTGGTGAACACTAGTGCCTAAGATAAAAAGTGAGTTTCTAACCGCAAATTTTGAATTTTAATCAATAACACAGAAGACTTTTTCTGCTTGAAATACTTGTGTGTTTATAGTGTAGGTAATTATCACATTAGAAGAACAGTTAATTACTATTTCTGTTGAAATCATTAGCATGACAGCTTTGTGAAATTTATGTATTTTCCAAAAGTGTTGGCTTTATTTTGTTGGTGATTTGAAGTATGTGCAAAAATTAGAGATGGAGCAACGTTAACTGAACTCCCTTGGTAGTCCAGTGGAGATAACAGTGTCACTCATGGTTTGTTTGAAGTTACTCTCTGTATGACTCACCCATCTTTCAAAGCATAGAAAGCTATTTCAGCCAAATCATGAAGATAATATGATGCTTTATTAGCATTTGAATAATAAAAGACCTTTTAATATTTTGTTGAGCTAAACAAAGTTATCTAATAAATCTAGTAAATCTAATATTATTTAAATTATAAAGCAAAGAAAAGAGGTTACATAGGATTGTGGTTATGATTATTTTTACCAGAAATTTTGTAACTGTGTTCTTTCCTCTTTGTGTAGGGAGTTGGTGTCTCAGTCCATGGACACTTTCGAGTTGCTACAGAAAAGACTGTGTTTGCCATGCCAGAAACAGCAATAGGTAAGTGTTTTAACAGATGATCACAAGTGTTTAGGGTTTCATTGTTGGTGTAATCAGGGTGAAATGTCTTTGACTGAATGCTTTGGTGGTAGGGAAAAAATTTTAAAAGGGAATTGGAGACAACCATGTATGGAAAGTATTTTCTGTTAAATTATCAGAAACGTACCTGTGTTCTGGCAGTTGATGATTCAGACTCTTAACTGTGTAGAGTGACACAAAGTCTGTCAGGATAAAACTTTCCTAAAAAGAACTAAGTCTTGCTACAGATGAGGGCAGGTAAAGTCTGAAGTTGCCAGTACAGGTACACCAGCTTTACCTTGGGAACTCGGTATGAGTCAAACTGAGTGTACTACAAGCTGCTCTGCTGTGTTAATGAGACAGATTTTGGAATTCCAGCTTTTCTTGTAGATTATTAATGTGGACCCATCACAATTGTGCACAGATTGTGTCTAGGCAAGATCACAGTGTCTTCAGTGTCGCCTTTTTTTCTTTTATACAGCAACATGTACCTTGTGTTTTCTAATGTTTGATCCTATGGTTTGTTTGTCAATTCTGAGAGGTACAAAAAAGAAATGTATCCCAGAGCTACATAAAGATACAGGTATGGCTCAAGAAAAATGAGTCAGAATAAAGGGAACTCTTCTGATGCAACTGCCAAGCACAATAAAGCATAAGAAACCACCCAAATACAAGCAAGCTTGTTACCATTTTAATTCCTGAAAAAAATATTAGAGCAATTCCTGCTAGCTGATGAATGCAATGTGTTTTTTATTGCTGAAGAAAAACTTAGTAAACTAAACTTAAGCTTTAATACAACATGTGTTTTCTAAGCTCTGAAGTTTATAATCAGTTGTTGTGTACGAAAAGTATTTGAAGTAAACAATTAATATTTGTATTTTTTCAACAAAACAGAGGTTCATTGGCATATGAAATTATTTTAATAATAAAACTACCTTCACTTTCTTCTTCAAAGGTGACGATATGAGTAGTTTTATATTAATGAGCTCTACTTTATAGAGATTTCTTGTGTTGACAAGGACTTATTTAAACAAAAATAGACTGAAGACGTGAAGGGAAAGCTTAGAACTTGCTTAGGAAGGAAAGTAATTAAACCCCTTTTAGGATCACTCAGAGGTAAAACCACTGAAATCTGTTTGGATTTAAAGGCTTAGCTGTTTTGATCTCTGTGGGGTGTGTTTAAAATGTCTAGGTCTCTAGATACTGTATTAGTTGGTTTTTTTCATGTGCTCACTTATTTCAGTAGGCATGACACCTTTGCTGAAATGAAAACAAAGCATTCATTCAGCTGCTCCATTTTCACACAATTATTCTGCATTTGTTCACCGCCATAAATAAAATGATACAGATAAATATGCCACTTAGCAAATAGGAAAAAAAGACAGTTCTAGACTGTAGGAGTTTGACATAGACAAGAAAAAGCACTGGAAAGAAGCACAGAAGTAGGAAGGTGTGGGAAAAAACACTGGTGGGGAGAACAAAGGATCAAAGTATAAGGTATGGGCTTTGAGGTGATGTTACACTAATAATAGATACTTTCTTGCATATCCCTGCTAAATTTTTAGCTTTCTAGAAGTCAATACTAATAAATTCCCAACCCCCTTTGCCAGACAAGGTAAGAATGTGGCAGCACTGCCTTTCTTCTGTTTGGCAAATGCAGAGTTGCACCTTTGGGATTACAGCAGAGCATGTTGCTCCTGTGTCAGAGCACAGACTGCAAGTCAGCAATAGAGGCTCATGGCCTGGGTAGCCCAGCAGTAACACAGCTCTTCTCTTACTTCACTAGGAAATTGAAAAATGATTGCTAAATGCTAACAAAAAACCAAAAATCAGGTATGGAATACATTAAGACAATCCCATCAGCAAAGAGGTTTCTATTTTATATATATGTGTGTGTGTATATATATATATATATATATACACATATATAGGAGGTGTTACTGAGAAAAGAGCAGTATGTAGAACATAGATAAAGGAGAAAAAGGAAGGCAGGAATATTGAAAAGGATACAGTAGAAGCTATAGCAGACTATGCAATCAAGTAAGTTTAAAGTGGATTAGGTAGACCTTCACAAATCCTGTTTGTAAATTCCTTAATTAAAGAAACCTTCATTCAATTTAGGTTTATTTGCTTCTAAAGCTATTTAAGCTAATCAACTTCACAGTTTATTTAAAACTGATTTCCTATGTATGGCCAAGTGGAAGGACACTATGGATCCCAATAGAAAGATTTTTCATGTGGAAATGTACTGGAGTGTGGGGATAGCAGTAGTCCAGCATCAGTATTATTTTAACTACAACAAAAAGGAAAAAAATGTTGTTGTTGTTGTTCTGGTGGATGGGGAGAATAATGTAATAGGCTTTTTGCTTTGGAGGGCATTTTTAAGCCGGGTTTTACTTTTATATGAGGTTGGGTTTTTGGTTTGGTTTTTTTTTTTTCAGTAGAAGGATATCTAAGGGGAGACAGATGAATAGAAACATAAAACTAAATAGAAGTCTTGGCATCACTGTTATGATAGCTCAAGCTGAGAAGGTAAAATGTAGAATAGACTATTTGAGAATGTGAGTACATATGAAAAAGAAGGTAAATGATGAATTGAAGTTAATACAGCTTAGGGCGTTTAAAGGGTTTCAGCAAGGCAGTCAGCATTTCAGGAGAAGAGTTGTATGTCTCAGTAGCCTGGGGGATGAGGAATAAATCAATTAATGACAGCACACACATCAGTGGGAATAGAATACTACAGCTGTAACTGATAGGAAGTGACTCCTAAACCCAACCTTTTGATGTATTAGAAGCAGTAGAACAAAAGGAAGACCAAGTGGGAACCTGAGGAGAAGCTGAGAGGGGTTAGATATTAAGATTATTAAGAGGGAAACACTGAAGAGCAGCTGTCTGAAAGAAACCTCCCCTTATTCCATCCAAGGGGGAGGACTATTCAGGGACCACTAACTTCCCATATCTCAAAATGCTTGGAATAGGGTCTTTCTATAATACATACATTGATTCCTGTGAACAAATGCAATTACTTGTGAGAGAAAAATGACCATTGTCTATCAGAACTTCACTTAAACTCCTTACGTACATCTGAATTTTCCCGGTTAATATCTCTTCTTCGGTGAGTGCCTTATGAGTTTCTTATTGCTCATTTATATTCTTTTTTTCATTTGTTTTTATGATTCATTTGAATCATTCTCTGAAACTGAAAAAAACCAAACCACCACCACACCTTTAATTTCTTTAAAAGACTTTCAGTTTCATTAATGCACTATTGACATGATTTCAAGGTAGTAACTGGACCCTTCTTTTATGCATTCAGATTTCTGAAATCAATACAGCTAAGCTAAAGTTTTCTCTAAGTACATTTAAAAAGATGTCTAAATTTATTTTTGGGTGATCAATGTATATAACAGAAGGTAGATACTTTCCAATACAAACTCTTAAAAGTATTTAAATTCTAGTCACAGCTTCGAATTTTTTAAAAAATTACCCTAGATTTAGATTATATTAGATTAGAAAATCTAATCTGTATATTTTAAAAAGTGTATAAGACAGTTATTAAACTAGAGAGTTTAATAATTTTTTGCTTCATTTTAGCTTAGTCACAGTCTTGCCAAAGAGCCAAGTACTAAGTCAGCATCTTGTGCCTCCACCTTCAGGGAGACCCTGGCAATGTTGTTGATGTGTTGTTGAATTCTGAGCCCCAAAATTTGTTCAACTGAGCTGTGCAAGAGGCACTTCATCAGTGTTTAGTATTTTTATTGTAACAAAAGATTTCAGTGAAAATGCAGCATCCAGTTTGAGCTTGCACGAATTATTTCACAATTCTTTATGTCCCTTCTGCTTCTTTGCTGAGAACATACTTGATTTTTCAAGCACCTAAAATTGTCTTGAGTTGTTGGCAAATAGAATAAATATTATTGTTCGCTGTATGTTTGTAAAGTATACAGACTTTATACAGGGCCAGTGGAAAGGATGAAGTTTGGAAAGTGTTCAAGAGTTTGCTTTTATGAAGGGTTTTGATGCCAGAAATGTCAAGCCAAGACAAGGAGAAATTTGGGCAAGGTTTCTGTGCCTATGTAAGGAAGATGAAAGTGAGACAAGAAAAAAATTGCTGCTAGTGATGATTAGTACAAGATCTCCTGCCTTCACTTTTGTTTTGTGTTGTTTATTACAGGCCTTTTCCCTGATGTAGGTGGAGGGTATTTCTTGCCAAGGCTCTCAGGAAAGGTTGGCTATTACCTCGCACTAACAGGATGCAGGCTGAAAGGAAGAGATGTGCTGAAAGTTGGCATCGCTACGCATTTTGTAGAATCTGAAAAGGTAATGTGCCAACTGTGCTGGCCAGGGCACAGCCCACAGCCACAGTGAGAGGTCTGGGGTTTTAGCACCCCAATACCCTGTTACCAACACGGGAGTCTGCAGAAGTGCACTTATATTAGCTGGCCATGCCCTGCAAACAGGGATGGTGAGACACCCTCAAGCTGTCCTTCTAACACTTGCCAGGTGGTGACAGCTTTGCTTGAAGGAAGGAGCAAATGGTGCTGATTTTACAGTTCCACTCTTGGAAGGGCATGATCTATTCAGCAGAATGAAGTTGCTTAAAATTTGTACAGTTTAGACAACATTGTATGAAACTAGAGATTTATACAACTGCAAAGTTTGCAGTGAAGGTAACACCCCATTAAAATGTTCTTTCCTCTCAGATTGGTGCAGCCTAGCTTTACCTGCAGCATCTGTAGCTGCTTTGGGGGACTGCTTGGGAAGCAGTTCTTTGCGGGTCACTGTAGACATAATTAAATTCAGGTGGTTCAACATTGGCAGTAAACTCTGTTTCCTTGTGTTGTTTGCTTTGTACTTCTTTAAGGTCAGTCAGAAAGTAAGGGGAGGATGAGGGGGTGCTTATATACATATATCTTACTGTAGTAATAACCCGAGTAGTATGTTTTGTTTTACTTACTTGCAATTAAATCTTACTTTTAATAGCTACCTGCCTTGGAGAAAGACCTGATAGCACTGAAATCTCCTTCAAAAGAAAAAATCGCAGATTTATTGAACTCTTACCACATGAAGGTAATCTGAAATTACTGAAATCAAGCAAAATCATTAAATACATGTAGACATTTTTTTTATCCTTGCTACTAATATCTTTTTTTATGGTTGAAAATAACAAGTTTCCAAACTCTTTGCACTCTGTCCATAATAGTTGTGTTAGCCCCATGTAACAATGGGCATGAAAATAAAAGGTTTTGCCTTTACAATCAGTGGCTATTTTTACTCTTTTGATGTGCGTTGCAGTTCTCTTTCAAAAGAAAGAAACTTCTAGAGTCAAACCAGTATTCAGTGTTACTCAGCCAGTTTATTACTCTGCTGTTGTTCAGCTTTAAAATTAGCTGTGTCTACTCTTGTTATTTCTGTTTTATAATTATTAAGTTCATAAATAAGATTAATTGGAAAAATAAGTGGGATAAGCTAATTTACATCATAGTACTGATTATTTTGACAAAACAGAGTGCTGTGAAATAGAAGTGATGATATGTTGCAGTATCCCGCTTTACAGGATGACACTGAATGGAAAAGGAAGTTGTGCATTTTTAGTTATCAGAGCTTAAATGCCAGGGAACCTTTTCAGCTTCAGCTGCTGTTCCTGAAACATCTTCTTATGTCCCAAACCCCTTAATGCCAGAAGATGTGAAACATTTGACAGCCTTCCCACAGAAGGAATTTCTGTGTATTATCACACACTTTGTTTGTCTAAACAAAATTTTGTTGAATGACATAGAAAAGAGAAGGAAGAGTAAGGCTTTTTTTTTTTTTGTCATTAAAAAAGCATAAACATAGGAGTGTATATTTTTAAAGAAAATGAAAGTTTTTTTAAAAAAAATCTCTGATTTTTGAGTAGATTTATCTACACTGACTTTCTTAGTGTACTGCACCAGGAGTGTTTTGATAGAACAATCAGAATTGTGTACAAGATAAGCACCCAGACAAATAAACATACTAGTAGCTCAGAGCAACCACTGCAGTATGAGGCAACAGCTTTAACATTCACAGGATAGAGAAAAGTTCATATATACACACTGCAAAATTGTGATTCATTAAAAATTGTACTGTCTTATGAACATTAAGTGTTCATTTATGATATGATATTTCTGGAACACAAGTCACTGAAATTTTTTGGTACTGATACATTTTCGGTCTAAAATAACCAAGTAAAATATGTATTTACTTTTTAAATAGTGCACAATTGATCAAGAAAAGGAGTTTGTACTTGATGAACATATGGAGAAGATTAAGAGGTATTCAGCAATCTTTTAAAATTTTTTATTTTTGTGAATAGAGAACATGAAGTTAAATCTAGTAAGAGTATTTTACAGATAAGGTGAGAGAAATTACTTCCAGGTTTAAGTAACATTTAGTCTTTAGGGAGTTTTAGCTGAAGCTCATTAAGTACTTCACTCATCAGTATATTAAATACTTAGGCAAAGTAGCCTGATTCATAACCTATGGCACATGAAAATGAACGTTTTCTGTAGATATGGAATGGGAATTTGTGAGAGTAACTGTTCTTGTTCCATGGACCAGGAAATGTTACCTAACACATTTACAGTACTCATTGGGTTAAGGCCATTTATATCATAGCTTGGAACTTCTGTGTATCAGAAAGGGAAGGAGAAATGAGTGAGAGTGATAAGAGAGCTAAACTCTGGAAGAAGGATGGCAATAACTACATTTAGAGATAAAAGATGATGACACCAAACCAATAGAATGGAGCTGATAGCGAAAGATTTGCTATGTTATAAAAATACAGCTGAGACTGATGGTAGTAATTGAAGTATATAGATAAATACCAGGGTTTGTTAGTAAGGTCTATTGAAAGAGATTTGTAAAGGAAAAGGAGATGCTTGAGTTACTTGAAACTGAGCAACATGGAAGACATTGCTAAGAAAAGACAAATCAGCTGGTTATGCTGAAGCAGCTTGTTAACTGATTTTTTTTTTCTTTTAGCATTTTTTCAGCAAATAGTATGGAAGAAATTGTTAAAAAGTTAAAGCAAGATGGTTCTCCTTTTGCCATGAAGCAGCTAGAGGTAAAGTCTTCTATGTCATTTTTGTTAGAAATTTTAATTTTCTAGAAATTATAGAAATTCTATGGTTTCTTATTATAGGGCAGACTTTAGTTACCCTATAGGGCTTTGGACTGAGAGCCTCAGGTTCTCACACATAGTCCTGAAGGATTTTCAGAAGCTCTACTCAGACAAGGGCATTCCTTTAAAATCACAGAATGTGAGCACCATCATATGGTGCATAAAACTAATTTAGTAAAAAACTAAACTCCACTTTCTTTTGCCCTCCCGACAGTCAGGGGGCTGTTGGGAACAAGTGTTCTCTTTATAGCTTCTCATTTTATTGTCAAAGTTTGGAATAAAGCAGTGCCAGAACAGTGTTGTTGTTTTTCTTCCTGATAAACATCAGATACCTCATTTGGGTAAACAGCAAAAAATTTATTATCACAAAGTATTTTTTGATCTTTCTAATGCATTTCTGAGTGTTGAATGTAGTCACTATTCAAAAAGCATGCAGCAATGCTACACACATAATTCATACTTCAGCCTCAAAAGCAAGAAGCAACATACATTCATTTATAAATAATGTGTGTATTTTATTTTTTCTTCCTTTGAAGTATCTTTGTTCAGGTGCCTTGTTAAAGTTTGGTTTGGAGCTAGTGAAATATTCCAACTGGATAGAACTGAAGCATTTCTCCAACAAAAGGGTCGTTTTAACTTTAGTTACAACTCACAGAAGAAATCTCCTTTCATAGTAAAATAAAACATCCGTCATCTTTGGCTTTGATATGAGCAGAAGGAATTTTATAAGGTAGTATTCACATTAGGCACCCTATCACTTTTTTAAAAAAAATTTAATTCAAAATGTAACACGTTGTCACTGGAACTATCAAACAGTTTTTTGAGAAAGGAAGTTTTAAGATCATCTTTGTGCCAACCAGTACATCTAGTACATTGCAAGAAATTTAGCATATGTCTTATAAAAGCAAAATTGAGTAAAAGGAAAATCTAATTTTTTTCCCCCCTAGTATCCGAGTTTCATTGGATGAAGCAGTCAAATGAGTTGGTGCCAGAATAAAAATTTTATCTGTTCGTATTATATTGATTAGGTTCAGTGGGTGTTGAAAACAACCAAGAATTATATGTTCTTTTTCCTTATTGTTTATGGTAGTACATTTATTTAACAGTTTTAATTCAGAACTTAAAACTAAGTAATCTGTTGATGGCTAAATTAGGTCATCTACTTCAAAGTTACGATTTTGTGTAATTGATTTTTTAAATTCCAGAACAACAACAACAAAAAGGCTATTTTGTTGCTTCTTTAGTTCTCCTATCTCAGACTATAAAGTCTTTAATAGAACTTTATAACAACTTTTTTATTTTATGTGATTCATAAATGAATGTCCTTGGAGTTGACCAGAGTTTCAGAACAATTGTCTGTTCTGTTCAAGAGGTAAGATTGTTAGTATGACTTGCTTCAGTCCATGCATAAATTCATGGGAAAAACCCCATGAAACAAATCCCACATTTTCTAGCAGATGCAAGACTTCAATGTGAACAAACACATTTCAGAGGAGTTTCTGACAGCAGACATGCTGTTCTAAGCAGTAGGATTAGGCAAGGTTGTGAAACCAAGATTTTACTTCAGTGAACTGGGTGAACCACTCCAGATACAGGAGCAACAGCAAATCCACCTGATAAATACCATATCAGCTGATTCAGTAACAGCAATGTCTATGCTTATTCTCCTTGTTTATCCCTGTATTTATTATATGTATAAGTAAGCTTATGGAATAAGCCTTAACTGAAGGTTTAATACAAATGTCCTAATTTGGAGGTACCCCTTGATACATCTACCTTGTACCTTGGATCAACAGATACTTTTTGGTGTTAATAAAATGGAACTCCTAGTTCTGCAGTAATCCAAGTATGCTGTGAGCCATGCTATCCCAAGTACCCTGTTCTCTTTAACCTACAGTACTCCTGCTTTTTACTTTCAAAACATGCCTGCTTGGCAGGCTGTCACATATATGAGGCTGAAATATTGCATGAAGAATAATATAAAGTTGTTAAAATTCTACTTGAGAATGACTTCATGAAGTCCATTGAAGTTCACATTTTGAACCCAGCTACAAACAGATGGAAACCTAGAGAACTAACACTTTGAACTCAATAGTTTTCAAACCTTTAAATCTGTAGCGCTCCTTTGTTCCCAGGATTTACATGAGCCCAAAAGCTTTAATCTGAGGGGCAGGTGTACCATTTCTAGTGGGATGAAGTAAACATGTTGGGTCAAAACCTGATAAACATCAGATACTTATTTTCATATAATGCTTTCTTAGAGGTTTCTGGCAGGACAGTACACCTGAGCACTGACATGTTACGGTTTAAAAGCTTTATTGTCACTGAGTGCCAATGTAGAGTGCAGGACACTGCAGACTAAGGACTACAAGACACATTGTCCAGATCTCCTGGTCAGGCTGGGATGCACATAATAGCTCCTGAAGCATTAATGTGTGTGCACCAAATGGGTGAGGTAGATTACAGGAATGAAGCTTGATAGTGTTGGACTCAAAGCAGCATTCTGAAACTCTCTTAGCAGAGCAGTGAGAGTGATGTACTGTCCTTGGGAAGCTATCCTGTGTAGTTTCGGCTAGATGCTCCTCATACATTGTCAGATCTCCTCTAGGACCATTGTTCCCCGTGGTGGAACAAATGCATTGATAGCTCAGAAAGTAAGTGATGGGTATCTTCATCTGTTGCAAGGGGAGTGATGCACTGGACCTCTGGGAGATTTTGAGGTTTCTAAGTGAAAGAAAGTCACTGTTGCCACTTTAAAGCTTGTAAGGGAATCCACTGTGTCAGTGCCACTTAATACAATCACCTTCTGTTAGCATTTTATTGGTGTTAGGTCTACTGCAAATTCAGCTTAGAGCTTTTGGGATCATTGTGTCAAAATCAAGATGGTTTGAAAGATACTGAAATAGATGTCAAATATGTCTATGAAGACTTCTTTGCATTTTAGTGCTCCCCACTCCAGCCTATCCTGTCTCTTTTTCAGGCTTGTTCCCTAGCACCAATCCCCTCTGTACAGAGAATGTATTTATAGCTACACTGGTGACTCATTTTTCTGCAATTACACCTACCCATTTTCCTGCCGTGCTCCTCTTCCTCCAGCTTGATTTATGTCAGTACCTCCTCCACCTTCAGCCTCATTGATATGCCAAGATAACCAGTCTAGTGCATCTAGCAGCTGCCTTAAGTGCTGTTTTCAGATCTGCCCCATTCCAATGCCTGCTTTGACCAGAACTTGCCATGACCATTTCACCCCTGGAACCATCTGGCTGTACCATGTATAGCATTTAGCCTGGTCTGAGCAAAGGCTTCCTAACCTAAATGACAGAATGTGAAACTCAAAGGAGGAAAGGCCCAGTTGAAAGGTTAGGCCAGCAAGAGCATCTTACAGGAAATAAGGGGTCCAGTTAAGAGCTGCCATCCATCTGGGACCTACAGAAGGATATAGTTAGAGGTACAGCTGATTTCTTAATCTGCTGAAAGGCAGGTCACTGTTGGAGAGCTTGACCAGAACTCAGGAACTGTTGCCTCTTGGAGCCAGTTTTGGCCGATTCTTTGCCAGCTTCTCTCTCAAGCACAGTAATTACATGCAAGTTACCGAACAACTGAACCAGTGCTCTGAAGGCACAATTCCAGAGACTCCTGCTTGTATAGCAATCACATGTTTTCCAGCTTAACTAGGCAAAATGGGTCACTGCTGCATCAGCTGGTGTCTGGAGGGATGAAAAGTAATTGGGAGCTAGAAAAAATGCTGCTGATGACTGGAAACCTGCCATTTCAGGCTGTGGTAAGGAGCCTTCTGCAATGAAAATAATGTAAAGAGGCAAATCTCACCATCTGCTGCTTTTTAATAGTGGTAAAAATGTCCCAAATTATCAGGAAATGTCTATTGTACCATGAATGATACACGTCTTTTATTTGGGTTTACAAAGAAAGGACATGTTTACGGTAAGAAAACAATGATAAGCAACAATGAGATTTAGCTCCTTTTCCCCACAACCCCATGAAACTTTAAAGCTCAGTTCTTTTTGCTTGACTAGGATTTTGTCTTTCTCCCCACTTTCCCCTACTGTTTACTGGCATGCTGTTCTCCAAAGGATACTCCTGAGAGCCAGATTTACAGCATTTGTTTGTGTGCTTTAAAAGAATCCTGTCTGTGGCACAATGTTTATAGCCTGTACTTCTGTCTAAAGAAGTAAGGCAAGACCTCCAAGCTTCCTATCAGCAGAGTAATGCAGGGCAAAATTACTTCAGTATCTGTTGATCCCAGACAAGAAGCCTGGACAAATATGTTTGGTTTATTGTAATATTTTCTTCCAGTTTTCTTTGTTGCATATTGTTTGGACTTTGCAAATGATCATGAAGCAACAACTTGTTGCCAATCTCTCTATTATTACCTTACTACTCTGTAAAACTTAAATGCTAAGCAATACTAATATCACCTACAATATCAGTAAATCTAAGAGCAATTCACATTATATATATATATATGATATTAAAAAACAAAATGTAATTGCTTGTAACACTTGCCTTCACTTATCAAAAGATTCTTCTTGAACATTTATTTCAAACTACATTCATTTCTCTGGCTAGTAGTAATTTGATTTTAAATGATGGGACCTTGGGAGTTCTAGGTTTTCCACAAGTGATGGTACATATCCCAGAGATCTTGCTGATCAAAGCTTATGCAGGAAAGTTCATTTAATGTGACAGCTTGGTGGGAGAGGGAGCAAGAGGAATAGGTGTCACAGAGGGAGCTCAGGGAGAAAAGAGCCATCATTTACTTTTCACAAACTTTAAAATGCACAAAAGACAGACTTGCAAAAGTGTCCAAATTGAAGAAAATAAAAATAATGTTAATGTCTTCCCCAGACTATTAATAAGATGTCACCTACATCTTTAAAGCTGACTCTCAGACAGCTCAGAGAAGGAGCTTCCATGAGCTTACAAGAGGTACTCCGGATGGAATACAGGCTGAGCCAAGCATGCATGGTAAGCAACAGCTGAGCCCCTTGTCCCTTTCCAGCCACAGGAGGGAACAGTTTCTCAGAGACTAAAAAATGTACGTAGATTTCATCAAAAGTTTATAGGTTTTAATTTTCAGTATCTTCTTTGTGTGTTTGTGAGGCTTTTTTCCAGTTTCATGTTATTATATGTACTGCAAAGGACACTACATTAATGACAGTCAGATGGGAATGTATAAGACTTCTGTTAAAAAAGTATGAAAACATTAATATATACATAGTGTTTCATATTTGGATTGTAATTTTAAAACTGATGTTGTTGAACAGGTTTTCTATTTAAATTACTTAGTCCTCAGTGCCTCAGTTCCCAGCAGTTGGGTGCAAATAGTTGTTTATGCCTTTCCAGAGTGTTGTCTATGAAAAATTTATCACAGCAAGAGATTTTAGTGTTATTTGTAGTAAGTGCTGAGTACTTGGATAGCATATGAGTAAGTGATCCTTCCAGTGGAACAGAGCTGCTAACTGAATTACCTGAACAAATGCCTTAAAGGGTTCCCCATGCCATCCTTATTGTTTGTTTTGTTACATTTTAAAATGAGGTTTTTATATGTCTGATTAAATGATTTGTGATGGTTAAATACTTGAAGTGAAAATCTGTCTAATTCTGGTATGTTCTAATGCTTGACTAAAACTAGGATTGTGGCTCTATTGCTAATGAAGCATGCTTAGGGATTTAAGTGTTACATTTACCTTTATTAAAAAATAATTGGATGTTTATAGGATTCCATTTAACTGCAAAGTACTCCAAATACACAGAATACATCACAATTCCTGAAGACTGCCCTTTTTCAGAAGAATTCCTGATACTGCACACCTTAGCCCCATCATGTGAAGCTCCTTTGAAAAAGCTGTTAAGACAGAGAGAACTTACACTATTGCATAGTGCCTGATCAGCTACAGGTCAACAGACTGATTTTGAGATATGGCTGCATTTAAAGCAAGAAGATACAGAGCTCTTTAATAAGTAAAGAAAAACTAGGCCTAGAAAAGAACAGTACAAGTGGGATTTAACTGAATCTTGAGAACTTGCATTTCAGGCAGAAGCGGGATAGGGAAAGATGGGATAAATAGGTCATGTTACATCTTTTTTTTTTTTTTAATAATCTTTCAGAAGGGCCATGACTTCTACGAAGGGGTTCGAGCAGGTAAGAATCCACACCAGAAACACTCCTCAAGCTTCATAGCACACAAATTTACAAATGTGGTGCTTTGGAAATCACTACCAGTGCATGCAGTGACAGCTCAGAGAGAACCTCCCAGCTTTCCATAGGTATTGCTTATTGGACTTCTGTGTGGCCAAAATGTATTACTGTTCCAAAGCACAAGAGCAATGTTTTTGCCTTTGTGTAACCTCAGTTCTCAAACATTATTTATCCACCTGGTTTCACCATTTCACATTTAAACCTGTATCCAGGTTTAGCGTTACTGCAGAGCTGGTTCAGCCAGCTACACAATGCTTTAAGACTCAAAATCAAGAACAACTGTTTCTATAGAAAACTGTTAGAACAAAGACTTACGTTCCCCCATGTCCAGAGTATCTCTGAATGGAAGTGTCTTATTGTTAAAAAACTGTATACATAAGCTCAACATTAACTAATTCAGCATTTTCAGGCATTGGTCAAAAAAGGTAATGGTAAAAGTAGAGCAATGTCTCAGCAAGTTCATCCAGGGGACAGACTTCAAGCCTGTCCTTGGTCCTACTGCTGATTCACTGTTCAGCTTGTCAAACCCAAAGTCACATCTGTTAGGAGCTGTAGCAATTATTTATATACTGTTCATCACGAGATGAAATAAAGCACAGGCATTTCTTTTTCCAAGGAGCTTACAGTACAAGGCATTTGGATGGATAACTTTTGGTTGGACTTTTAATTCACATGCTTACATAGTCAAGTATTATCACCTCCTCCTCATTATTTTATACCTATCTTTATAAAGTAGTTTAAAATTCACTTGAGGAATGGATATTAGTTGGAGTGTCTGCTATTAGTAACCCTGTATTAAAGATAGCCTGGGGTGAGAGATGCAAAATTTATTCATACAGCATGGGGAAGGTTTCTGATATTAATTAATTAGTCTATAGCACTTATTAGCAGACACTCCTTTGAAGAATTTACCACACGTGTTGAGAAGTGGTTTTCATTATGTTGGTAATGGGGACAAGGATATCTTAAAAATACTTTTCCTGAGATATTTTCTAAGTCAGTATATAAGCTGCTGAAATGTAGTTATTCAGGAAGTGACAAACTCCAAGTTTGAGAGTCAGAGGAACACCAACTGAATTTCTCCTTGCAAGGCACAAGGTCATGAAACCATCTGGGACTGCAGTACAGTACAAAAGCAAATCCCTTGTCAGTATGGCCAGGAAATACACAAACTGCCTGTAAAGTGAGGGGCTGCAAGAACAGCAGTTGGGAAAATTCTCTTTTATACAGGATGATGTAGCAGAAGTTCAGCAATATCAGGGGAAGGAAAAAACCAAAACCAAAGATCCAACTGCACTGAGGGGATAATAATAATAATTTGTTCCTAAAGCACTTTTGTTCTCTGCTTGCTGCATAGATCTTGTTCTCAGATTTTCAGTCTTAGCATTGTTTCTCTTGTTGCAGAGGAGGGTAGAATCTGACTCCAGATCAGTTTTGTAGTTTGGGCTAATTTCATAAAAATCATTATCCATCAATGTGTGCTGAGGATCCTTTTTAACAGGAGGGGACATTATTAAGTACTTCACAGGACCAATAATAATAATATAATTAATATAATAAAATATATATACAGTAATAAAAGTGTTATGTATTAGCTTTTTCTTTCTTAAAGCTTTACACTTAGAAGCATTTGAGAGCCAGCTCTTGACCCTCTATACCACAAGAAGATCTACTACCAAAAGAAGTTGAGTTACAGCACTCAGATTTTAGTTTGTTTCTCAGCAACCAAGGGCCACAGGTCAGGTTTTAATAATACCTTTCATCTGCTTCAAACCATAATTTCAAAAGGCTTTCTAGGGAGTACTTTAAAAGCTTTTTAAACCTGCTTTGACCTGAGGTCAAAATTTCTTTTTTTTTTTATTTAGCCAGTTTTCTTTCAACCTGGAAATCTGCTGTGGCAGTCTTCGCTGTTTATGATTCTTGTGATTGGAGCTATTAAAGAAAAGCCAAAATTCTTAAAGCATAAAACACATGGATCATATTTCATCAGCATTTTCCTATAAAATGGTAAATGTGGACTTGGGTATCCTTAGATTAGGTATCGATTTTTCACCTTGATTAATAGAATAATATGTAAACTAAGAAATGCATAGGTCTGGGTAGTTGCCAAGAATTGTTTTTCAAATCTGACTGCCTAAGAAAAGCAGTAATTTTTGGAGTCAGTGCTCAAACACATCCAGGTGGGATACAAGCTCAGCAGCAAGTCTCACGGACAAGTATCTGTTAAATCATGCTCCTAACCCTTTGTGCAAGAATGTGCACTTGAAATGGAATTGTAAAGGTCTTCTACATCTTGCTGATGCTGCAAAGATGATTTTTCTGTGCAGCTTCTGCCACCTTCCCTGCAGTGCTGGCAGATGTGAGCTGTACCCTGGGCACCCCAGGGCCCTGCACGAGCTGAGAGATTTTATAGCAGCAAACAGAATGTCAGGGGCTTGGAAATACCAGAGTTTTGACTGTGTTGGAGGAAACTCAGCAAGAAGTCCAGTAAAGTCACTGCTACTTAACAGAGGGGTTTGGGATTTTGATTAAAAATGGTGAAACATAAGGGTTTGTACTTAACATGATGTCTGTGCTCAGTTACTTTCATCATAATGAAATTCCCTTAACCTACCTTAGAAGTCTTCAGAATTTTTATTCTGTTTCTGTAATGATTGAGCTCTAGCTGGAGAGATAAAAAATATAAAGAAGTCAATGCCGAAGTGGAATATTTTCATGATACTACTAGAGAACAAATATTTTAACTCATACAATATTAAAGACTTCACTGGGGAGACCATTCATGAGCATTGAGTTTATCCACCAGAGTAAAACTGGCTGCAGATCCAAACAGAAAGATGAACTTGAATAGACAGCGGTACCCTGGAGTGGAAAACTCCATTTTACTACATCATTTACTACAGCATGGCAGAGAGGAAGCTGTAGTAACATACACAGACAGTCCTTCCTCTTTAATTTAAACCATTCCTAGTCACAACAGAAATGTTTTGGCTAGACTGTGAACTTCAAGTGCAATTGAAGAAAATCATTAGATAAGTACTGTTCTAGTGGAATAAATATAATTGATTTGGGATAATTACATCTTTTGACCCAAGCCAATGAGTGATTTCACCATGTTCAGAAATAACTTGGAAGATCACAGCTTTTCAGTAAGTTACCCAGTTGAACAACATAGTGAAAACACTCTTTTACAGGACGCTTCTTTTAAAGAATTGTCCTCATGGATTCTGTTTTCTGTGGAATTGCAGTTTCCCACATAATAGGTTACTTTTTACAATTCATTTGTTTCTAAGGAATCCTTAGTTCCCTATTTGCAAGTAAATGGATGTAGGGCTCTGATTTGCTTTGCTCTTTAGGGATATAAGCTAGAGTTGTGATGCCTGTAAGTCTTTAGCTGTGGACATATTAATTACTCAAATGTAATTTAAAGGTGTGTTAATTTTCTAGCCACTCTCAACCATTGGTTAAAGACAGAAAAGTTAAAGAGAAGTTTTCAAGTCACATTTTTTACTACAGGTTGCTAGGCAGGCCATAGTGCCTGTTTTTTGATAAACACGGTCTTCAGGTAGGTTTTCTTTTCATTGAACATAAAATTCTACCCCCTTACACATTCCTCATTTTGGATATTTCTAGTTCACTTAGAGCAAAGTCAGTTTAGAAAAACACAACAACTTACCCAAACATAGTTGCAATTTTCTGAAATATCTGGGCTCTGCGAGTGTCATAGTTCACCTGCCTTTAGACTCATCCCACTCCTAACTCTTTGTCAGAAAACGAACAAATAAAGGCCATTCTCAGGAGAGAAATTTGAAATGCACTCCCTCTTCCTGCCTATCCTCTCTTATATGCTGTGGGCTGTGTTGGTCAGGTTCCCCCAGGCCACAGGTGCATCTCCAAATCAGTTGCTGATCTCACTCATCTGAAGGGAATGTGTGTTGTGAGGGTTGATGGCTGTCAGTGCATCCTAGGGAGGCACAGTTCTTACAGCTGTTCTTTAAATGATAAAATTTTCCCATTTTCAGTAGCACCCTTACGGGTTTCTTAAAGCCTGAAAGGTTCTTGGAAGGATGTTCTGGAATTACATTCATTTTTACACACAAATTAACTCCTTCTTGTTTTATTGTTGGCTAATGCAGCCATTGCTGATGTGCCTTCAACATTCCTGTGATACAGGGAACGTTTTTTGGGAATTGGCATTTTCTTTTAGCCTTTTACATGTGATTCATTCTGTGATAGTTTTTATCTTCAGTGATGTGTTTCCCAGGATGCAGCATAAAGTCTGTCTGTATACTAAGATTATGCAGATTGTCACAGTTAAATCTACCCAGGCCTCAGTAGCTGTCAGTATTTACAAATAAACACCCTCGATTCTCACAAAGATACAGTGCTTTACTCCTTCCTTGTGAGTTATTTCATTATTAGTTTATGTGTTTAAATTATCTTCAGGCACTTGGCACCACTGAGTCATCTCCTGTACTCTCCAAGAGTCAGATTTTGCACAGAAGTGTGAAAGCCTTGTCCAAAAGCAGCATCGTAATGTTCTGTTCCCAGGCTCCCATGAAGAAGTGTAAGTCAGCCAAGAGTGGCAGGTCTAACTGAACCACTCATTTCAGGTCTATCCCTTCAAATCTTGGGCTACTTCTGAAGTGATCCATTGTTCCTTGTATCATCCAGCAACTCCCAGAGACACCTCTGGACAGGTCACAACTCAGGAACTTCTATTAGAGTAGAAATATCTGTTACAAAAACTCTGCTTTCTCCAGAGCACAGATTTGTCTTCCCCATGCAATCACAGTAGTGATCTGTCTTGATGCAATCTTAAGTCATTTTAATTAGAGGAAGTTTACAAGTAACTTTGGTGTTTCTCTGTTCCACCTGACAGTGCTGATTGACAAAGACGAGTCCCCTAAATGGAAGCCAGCTGCTCTAGAAGAAGTCAGCGATGAATTTGTGGACAACTGTTTTAAACCACTGGGAAATGATGATCTCAAGCTGTAAAGATCAAACCTACTGACATCTTACCTATCTGCTTGGTTCTGTGGTATAAAATTTAATAGTAATATGATCAGTTTGGACAAGACTTTTTTAGCTAGCCTGAGATTCCCAAGGCTTTTTTTGTTTTTGCTTTTGTTTCTGGTTTTTTGTTTTGTTTTGTTTTTGCAGTCGGGAACATTCTCTGTAATGAGAAAATAATTGTATCTCTGCTTAATAATGGGAAAAATCACTTCCAGGCAAATTCATTTTTACTGCTTTACACAGTGATTAACATTTAATTTTTTTTGCATCAGCTCTTAGTTCAGGAGGAGCCCTTGGGGAAAAGAGCACAGTTAAGGGGTGACCTAATCAGCAGAAAGTCAAGAGACCTTTTGTGTTCTTGGCTCTGCCACTGGTCTGGTAAATTTGGATTGTGCCGCAGGTTCTTCTGCGTACAATGAAAATAAAATATGGTTAAACCTTTAATGCAGTCAGAGCTACAAAGGAAAATGCAAGACAGAATCCATGGTGTTAAATATCCTTTTAAATAAAAGCTCAGACTGATACAGTATTAGTCTGAGAACAAGAAATTGTTTTATTGATTTAACGTTTGTTCATTTTTCAGCCTTGCTGTGTAAACATTGTTTCAAATGTGATAATGTTGCCAGAGCCTAAAGCACATTTCTCTTTGCTTGCATAGCCCATTTTTTAAAATGTCATTATGTCTGCTTCAACTGCATAATGAGTATTTCATGATGTCAGAAAATTGCTGGTTTTTCTTGGTCCTACAGTGGTAAAGAAACAAGTGCCTCAAACCTTGCTGTGAGCACCAAGCAGCACGTTTCCAGTGCATTCAAGGTGGCAGGGTTCTGATGCTGATAATACATGAAGTTACACAACACAACCAGAACCCCTTGATACACATATTTGTGGGAGGGAAATTATTTTTTCTATTGTGTATGCGACAGACAGCTACTAATCTTCAACATTACGCCTTCTTTTTTATGCTGCATCAGATCACGTAGCACCGTATCTTCGTACTTACTTCTACACTTACAGGCAGGTCACAAGTGCAAATTTTGGCTTCTCTGAAGACCAAAGGAAGAAAACTTCTGTTTGAATGCCATAGTCAGTAACCATCACTGAGGAGTCAAAAAGAGCTGCAGCAGAACCATTGCAGAGTTTTCAACATTGGGCAGTTCTTATTACCAACAGCAATGGTCTGCAATGGATCAAGGCTCCTTCCTTTCTAGGAGCTGTTGCCTGGAAACAAAGTCCAGGAAATTCGTGCATCAAGGTGAACTACCAAGAGTGACATTCAAAAAAATCATAGGTGAGCAAATGGAGAGCTAAATCAAGAAAAAATGGCACCTTGCTTTGGCACTAGAGTCTTGTAAGATAAAATTGTTAAAATTTCAGCTGCGAGTGTATGTTACCATGGACATACTTGTTATGAGACTGTCCTTGAGTTTAGTTCCAAAAGTAACTGAGATTTCATTATTACCTCTAGGGTAATTCTGAAAGTAACAGGTGACTTTCTACCTCAAGCCAGTCTCATAAGAAGTGCAAACCTCCCCCTGCATTATTTTAAATTTTTTATATGTTTTACATTCATAAACAATCGCTATTTTAAATTTCCTTTTTAAAGATTGGTTAATTCCATTATTTTTGTATAAAAGAAGCAGTCTTCAGCCAACTATATTAAATGAAAAACACAGGAATTCCCTGGGAGCACAGATCATGGCTCCTCTGATTGTAAATGACGTACAAGATTTTAGGAAGAACATACTTCTGAATTAATAAACTTTGACGTGCATGTTCAGTTGCTTCCAAAATTTATGTGAACAGGAATTATCCCAAGCTCAAGGTAACGAGATCCTGTCCAATCTGTGCAATCTTATATTTTTTTCAAATAAAAGGCATACAAGCAGATGGTAAGTTGAATTTTATTTGGTCCACAAGAAAATATTTTCCACAAAAAATATTGTAAAAATATATTGTAGTGTGTCTTATTTGGGAATACTGATGTGCCTTACTCCAGAAACGTCACCTTTACAAAGTTGTGCTGCATTTAATGTACTTTGAACCATTATTAGAATATCAAGTCAGTCACATCATATGCACTCAGATTTATCTTGTTTTCTGGAGAAAATATAAAGCAAATGTATTTTTAACTCCTAAATAGAAGTAAACAGTTTTGCAGAGTATGCCAGTCCCAAACTGGAGTGCCTTTATTACACAAAATCAAGTCAATGAATCAATGGCAACTTAGCTGGAAACCCACTGTCAGTGGCTCTGTGAAACTCTAGCACAGCTTAGCATAAATTTATTTAGGTGAAGAAGTCTTTATTTTTACAATGTGTTAGAATTGTGCCTATTAAATGTACAGCAGAGCTCTGGAGAGAGATCTCCCTAAATCTCTTACCAGACTGTAGCACTGAACAGATTTATTTTCTATTAAGGGTAAGTGCATTATTTATAAGGACAGCTTCCTGTAAAAGAGATGATTTTCCTGGTGAGAAGCCGTCTCCCTGTTGTTTGCAAGCTTGTTTGCTTTCCATTTGCTGCGTGCCGTCCCTGAAGTGCCAGTGTCACGGAAAGCATCGTAAAGCAGCTGGAATTGCACTTGGGGCCATGCTGAAGCTACTGGAATCTTCAGGCACCAGTGAGGGCCAAGGTTGGTGGCTGCAGGTGAGGGACTGGTTGGGCCACCAAGCAGCTGGTGCTGAGTCACCCCATGGGCAGCTCTTGGGGCAGGGAGGGCAGGGACCTCACACAGCAGCTCCTCCCCAGGGGAGCAGTCCTGGGCATGGTCAGTGTGCCTGGGTCACCTCCTCTGGGGAAATTCCGAGTGCTGATGACAGCGGATGCTGTGGTGGAACCTCTGGCTGTTGGATAACTCTGCCTGCTGTTGGACCGGGCGGTGGCAGCGTGCCAAGGGGGAGCTGCTTTCAGAAGTGTATCTGATATTCCTGAAGAGTGTCAGATGCTAAGGCTACATCCAGAGGAAGGATTTGAGACATGGCAACAGGAAGCACTGCAACACCCCACTGCCTGTGGCAACCGCCAGGGTGCCTTGTAAAAGGGTGGGGCAGATCCACCTTGAGGTGCTCTGACAGTGAGTGCAGTTTTCTACCTGCTCCTCACCTGTCTGGCCAACAATGGCTGTGGAGCTTTGGCTTTTTTTTAAATTTCTGTAGTTACAAGTGTTAACATTCTCGAGCCCACACTCATGTTAGAAAGGTTGGCCCTTTTTTCTTTTTTGTAATAAAGCTTTATTTTATCTAGAGTAAGAATAGGAATTTTTTTTAATACTGTGGTTAAGCAATATCCAACTGATATGTACTGACTTGATCAGTGTTTTGGCTTCCTTTGCTTTCTAACTCACACTGATTTATGGAGGTATTTTAGAGCAAACAGAGTATGACCTAATGTTTTATATGCTGTAGAACTTGAAGGAACGTCACTGTTAGCAGGAGAATTTAAGTGAACCATAAACCTTAGTCCCACTTTGCACAGGGCTTTGAAGAAGACTGCGTAACTTCAAAGACGATGACATTACAGCATAAGCTGATTTTGTTCCCTTTTCCAGCAAAGGCCTGAGAACAGCCTTAATAGCAGGTCACTGGGAATCCAGTCTGATTACTTGGATTTAATGGCAGCCTTGTGCTGTGTCACAGAGAAGCATTTTTCACCCTTTATTCCTGATAAAACCACATCCCCATATAGGTGAATTTCAAATACCTAAGTTTGTGTCACAACATTTGCAAAACAGCTCAATTCATAGACTGTCACGTCAGAGAATGAACTAAAACCAGCATTTGACACGGTCCTCTTTCTGCTTGCTTCCCATTGCTTGAAAAATCATGCTTTGGATCATTTACTAGAACTATGTGTACCTTTTAAAAATAGTAACAGCTTTAGCCAGTATGGAAAGCATTTCTCTATAAAATGAAAACAAAATGGAAAGTATTCTGATCTAGGGAAAAACCTGTATCTTTTAAACTGGGCATCACAGAAACGGGAACAAACAGATGGTAAAAGCCAAGCTGTTAGAAGGCCTTCACTTTGTATAAAATGTCAGCAACATTGTACCTTCGGGATGAATAGGAACAATCCATCCGTGTCCTGATCTGTGGAATGCCAGCTGTGAGTGCAGTGGCTATGAGTCCTGGGCATGCAGGGAGCAGCGTGTGGATGCACTGGGGAAGAAATGCAGCCTTTGAACTCTAGCCTAAGGCTTAGTCCCTAACTCTGCATTCAGAGCACTGCTCAGGGCTGGGGCTCCTGTGACTCCTGCTGGCATTGCCATGAACAGGTTTTCCAACGGGAAAGCAGCAGCCTGCAGAAGCGGAAGGAAGACATCCTGTCCCAAGGGTGGTACTTCAGAGAGTAATTTCAGTGTAATGCAGCCACAGTTCCCATGAAACAAGTTGTCCTAAAGCATTGCCACACCTTTAAATGTTCCTTTCACTAGTTATCATCAGTAGTTTTTGCACATCTTTCTCGGTCGCAGTAAAACAACAAAACCAAATCCTCCCAAACCAGCACCCTAACGCAAAAAAAACCCCAAACAAAACCAAACAACCAAACAGCTTTGGTCTGAACACAGTGACCAGATGTCATTAACCTGTCTTACTGCAGGGTTTTAGAGACAAGCTTTCATGCATTTACAGAAGCATCTGTTAATGATAATGCACTGCTTATCGACATGGGCATGTTTCTCACTGGTTCACTTCAATGGAAGGTAAATAGCATCATCATCCAAATGGCTCCCTGAATACTACTGGGGTTTACATAGCGCTCTCATCACCTTCATTATCTTGTGGTTTTACAGATTTAGTCAGGTCATAGAATCAAAAGTAAAATTCATGATAGCAGTAACCTTTGCTACATGCAGACCTTGATTTCACTTTAGCAAAATGCAGACAAATTCACCAAGAACGGAGAGTTCATCTCACCTACAGACCACTGATTTTTAATGCAGAACATAGAAATAATCCATGTTTTGTCCTCTGTGGCAGTGCTTATAGAGGTGCAGGGCAGCCACAGTCTTCTCATCCTCTTTTTAATGCTAACTTCTGGTCACATCCAACACATACAAAGACAGAATATACTCAACATACAGCTGACAATGAATGACACTTGATGAACAGGTTCTACTGGGATCCAGTTAGTTTGTTAGCAACCTGCGTTAAAAGGCAAATTCTCTCAGGCTCTCCCTGCAGACACCTCCCCGCAGGGATGCTCCGAGGACAGCTGGGGGTGCTTTATCTGCGCTGGCAGCCCGCACAGAGTGCTCCTGGACGGGCCAGGCCCCGGCAGGGCTCAGGGCACGTCGCTCTCGATGAAGGGGATGTCGCTGTACTTGCTCTCGGTCACTGCCCACTGCTTGACCGCCTGCTCCAGGATCTCGCGCGACAGCCGGTGCGCGTAGTCCAGCACGATGGTGCTCGAGGGGCCCTTCTCCTCCGCCTTCACCGCCAGCAGCGACGACTTCTCCCCAGTGCACCCCTCGCCACCTCCCCCGATCCTCTCATCCTGGACAGTGTTGGAACCTTGGAAGGCAGCCTTGGATTTGATGCATCCCATGGTACATTGGAAAATGCAGCTGCAAAATTCAGTTCAACAGCATGTTTTGATAACCTGGAAGCGGTTCCCTTGTTCGATGCAGTGTCGCTGCTTCTTGCCAGTGGCTCCAGTTATTTTCAAAGAACAGAACATCTCCTTTTGTGCTTCTTCTGAGGAAATCTGTCAAAACAGCGTTTCATATAAAGGCAATAAATAGTTTACCATTCTCAGTGAGCTCAAAGGAAACCTAAATTCACTACAGGCGCTTGTTGAAGCGGCTTAAATAAATCTCTGCCCAGTGTGCGTAACACACACGTTTTTATCGGTAACATCCATCTACTACAAGTAGGCAAAGTTTGACCTGAATTCACACTGCCTTTGAATGCAATTCCCAGTACAGGATCTAGGCCATCTAGGAACATAAAAGTCTTAGGAAAGAAATAAAGTGTTTCATCCAAGCTGACCATACATTTTGCGCTGAAAATGCAAACATACTATGTTTAGCTCCAGGGACTGCTGCTGCTGGAAATAAACACCAAAAGCACCCCACAGAAGCACCACACAACCACCGTAGCCAGAGTCCCGTGTCATGGCTGTCACACACCCTCTGGGCACGATGACACTAATTCCCTGTGTCATTCTGCTGTTGCTCAAGGAGGCTGGAGCAGGGCAGCCAGCAGAAGGTATTCACAAGGAACAAGAGCTGTTTTCGTTTTTTCCCTGGAGAGGGTAGGGAAAGCAGCAGCAGCCTGCTGTGATCAAGGCAGTTCCAACAGAGCCAGAGCACCATTCTCACTAGAGCAGGACAACTCCACATCTAGAGAAGGGAAAGCGACCAACAAAACACCTGGCAGAGTCCTTTTCAAGTCCTCAAGATCCAGAATTGGTCAACTCCAAATTCTGGAATATGAGTTTTTGTTTACTGGCCTGTTTCTGGGGCTACTTTCTCTCAGGCAAAGCAGAATCTCACGATACGGCTGACTTTGCTTGGCATGTGCTTACCCACTTATCAGAGTTAACAGACTGCCAGCCAAAATAAAGACTGTGCGGCACAGAAACCAACTGTTCCCTACAGCTTCACCCAATGACGTTGTACTAAGGTCAGCCAAAGTTAAAGATTTTTTGTAAATAGCCTTTGAAAACACAATCATGGCAAAGATGTTAAGCCTTATTTATTTCCTTTATACACTGGAGGAAACAGGGGCTCCAATCAGGTAACCTGATCACAGGCAAACATTTGCTGAGGAAATCAATCCCATTTGCAGGCCAGTCGTGCTTCATAAGTAGGATGGGACTTCCCCGGTCTGGCAGCTGACTCAGGAGAACCAGATTCCTGGGACAAGCTCCTCTCTTTGCTGCTTCATAAAAACCATTGCTACCTGTTTGTTGGGCTGAAGTGCAGCACAGAAGGGATGGCTGCCGCTCCTGGCAGGAAGTTGGTCCTAAAGGGCTCCAGAAACCACTGAGTCCATACAAATATTTTCACACTTTTAGCTTTGCATCAGGACATTTCAGCATTTAGAGGAACATTTGTAAACCACTTCAATGAAGTTCAGTGGGTCTCCTCTGTGCACACTGAACTGCTGCAGCACATGGCCAGTGCTTTGGGACAGGCATGGTAGTTCACAAGCCTGTAACACAAACCCTGCTGCCAAGGGCTGACCTCCCCTAGCAGTTTTTACCCAACACAGGGGAGAGCCAAGCTATCAGATTTTTATTCCAATAACTTGTCATTAAATGAGTAAAGACTGTATGGATAACTTGTCATTAGATGAGTAAACAGCAGGATTCCCTTCACTGCAGAAAAAACTACATTTATCCCTATGGAGCTTCATACCCTTGTCTATCCATCACATAGACTCATCAAACTTACCATGCCTACAGACCAGAGGCCAAGGAGAGGCCTGAAAGCAATTCAGATGGCTGAACAGTTCAGAGCTTTAATAGCAATGTCTTGTGCATGTCTAATTGCAATATTTTCCATTAATAAAACATTAATACTAATCACTTCCACTTTCTCTTCTGGACAAATATGTAGATCCAAGTACATGGTAAAGAATCACTATCAGCACGTACCACCCAGCACTGCTGATACCTGAAAGCTGCAGTCTTGATCCAGCCAAGGTAATATACAGCTTCAGTGTATTTTTATGAGAGTTTATCCCTGACACTTTCCATAAAATAGACTATTCAGATTTGGAATTTTTTTATCCAAGTCTGGAGCTATCTTTTTTGGGGGGGGTTTTTGTCTGGGTTTTTTTTTTTTGGTTGGTTGGTTGGTTGGTTTGTTTTCTTGTTTTTGTTTTTTTTAGCTTTTTAATTGAGGTCTGTTAAATAGAATCTAGCTTTAGTTAGGATTTTATCATTGCTTTAATGTTTCCCTCACGCAGATGGAGATTTTGTTAGGGGACATCAGCACATGAGTTAGTGCCTAATGGAAAGGACAAAAAGTAAGTAGGGGGAGGATAAATCTCTCCTAAAGCAGACAGGGAGAAATTCCCTACAGTCAGCATCTTCCTCTGCAGAACTGCCCTCCTCTGCCTCTTCATTTGGGCCAAGTCAAATGTTTCAGGGACTGTCCTCCACAGAGGACAGGGTGGCTCTAGAGCTTGCAGACAGCAAGGCACACAATACAACTCAACTGTTCCAAATCAGTTGAGCTTCAAAGCAAAGTTATCAACCCTCATTTAAAATTCTTGCCTGTTGCTCATTTCATTCTTTACAGAGCTCAGTACTTTCCAAGCCACTGCAGTGAGTGTTTCGGTTTGCCCGGTCTACTGCAGTTAATAATTGTTGGCACAGAAATGATTGCAAATGAAGCTGCCCTCAACCTTCTGTCTGCTTCCTTGTTTTCCTGACAGCTCTTGCCTGCACACACATGGGGAAGTGTTGTTTAAATCTTCTCTGCCTAACTCATCTCCAGAGTCTTAAGTTCTGACAGGGGTTTTAATATCTCTACCTTTCCTCACAAAGCTCATACCCTGAGAGGGAAAAAACCCAACAAATTAAACCAGCTTGTTTTTCTCCCAGCACAATGTTTCATCCTGTAACTGCACAAAGCAAAACTGTGCAATAGGAGCCTGTTTCTGTCAGTGCCCAAGCTCTGCTCTGTGGCCAGCTGTGCCTCAGACACCACTGCATAGATGGTTTGGGGCTCAGGCCAAGAGCTCTGCAGTGCATTTCTTCACATGACAAAGCTGCTGGAGGCAGGGATCAGCGAACTCTGCCTGCTCTGCTCACTCTCAACCAGCTAAAGCAGCACCATCGCAAACCAGAACTCCTCTTTTTAGAGACAGATTTTACAGTAGGTGAAATGCTGATTTATTCATCTGAAAAATGTAGGCTCCTAGTTGTGCTCAATTTTACTGGATGTACAGTCAAAATGGTTTTAAATGTTTCATTTAACTTCATCCATTTAACATTCAGCACAACAAACACTGTTTACAACTTTAATGGAAGTCTTGAAAATAATCAATTTCATATTGGAATTGGAAGTTCTCAAGGATAAGTTCATGTGTTTTTTCACCTGTCACTTTATTTACTATGGTAATAGTAGGAGAGAGAAAATATTGAGGGGGTGGTAGCTGAACTCACCGGGCACACGAGGGCTAAGCAGTCTCTTTGCCAGCCTGGCAAAGTGTTTCCTGCCAAGGTAAGTTCATTTCTAACTACTGAAGGAAACAAAACAATGGTGAAAGGATGCCTGCAATTCACTATTAGACAATATAAAATAGAGGAAAAAAGCATTAATCACAAAACTGCCATTTAAAAAAACAAATAGCATTTTTAAAGCATAAAAATAATCAATAAAAATAATTGCAAAAAGGTAAACATGAGACATCAAAAAATAAGGGTTTCACTGGCCTCTGCAATACATCATCATATGACAAAAACAGGAAGAAGAGTTTCTGCCTTTTGCTGTTATACAATATCTGTAGCATCATAAGCAGGTAAGTTCCTGCTACCATTCAAATGTATTCTATCCATGAGAACCTCGGGAAAAAATCTTGAAGTTCAGTACTACACTATAAGAAACTGCTTTCTGCAACATTTTATGTTACAGCAGTCACTGGATTAAAAATAAGTCACAGTTTTCAAAATAGCTTCAGAATGTGCAACTTTGCCCAGCTGAAGGCAGCAAGTAATTCCTGCTGTGACAGAGCCAAACTTTTTGGTTCAAATATGACTCTTCCTCCAGCAGGGAGGCTTTCAGTTCTCCCCTGGGTATCTGCAGGAGCTCAGAGTGCCACTTACCAGAACCACGTCTGCTTCTAACAGGTCGTCACCTCGTCCCCAGGAGAGCAGAGACAGCCTCACGTCTGGGGCTCTGCAAAGGGAACCCAGGAACAGAGCTCAGCACTTGCCAGGATGTCAGAGGTGCACATTATTACCAAGATGATCAATCTAGTGCTGGCCTTGCACAAGCCTGCTGCCTTTTCTCTCCCACAGAACTTGACTTTGACAAAGGTAAAAGGATGATACAGCACTTAATAAATTAGATTGAATGACAGGCTGCAACAATTTCTACACAGCACCTAATGCCAGGCTCAGAGTGGGGCCACTGCTTGGGGAAGTGGCTCCTGACCATGTGCAGGATTGCCAACCCCCTCCCACAGCAAATCCAGGCAAGGAGGATTTCAGCAAGGATATGGGAAGGGTAATGTGCCCCATCTGTTGCCTAACCTCAAAAGTTCTCTCCTGTTCTCCCTTCTCCCTTTCAAAGCTTCTGCTGAGACCTGGACCTCGATCATGCAAGGACACAGGGAGAGCAGTCAGACAATCCCAGTGCTGCCGTTATCACGGAAACAATAAACTCTGGAACAAAGGTATTCAAAGTTGGAGTTTGGGCAGGTGACCTACCAGCAAAGGTAACCAAACTTTGGCATCCGCACCTCTGAAATGCACCCAATCACATAAAATATTCACACCCTCCATGTAAAAACTGAGAGGAAACCCAGAACATCCTCTGTCTGCTTCTTCCTAACAAGGTGGGCTGTAATTCAGGAGCACACGTGGCATTGGCCTTTGGATACTCTGCAGCTCCGAGCAGAGCAGCGGCACAGAAATGGCAGAGGGATGAATCATTCGCTCAGTGCACAGCATCCCCTCCACTGCTGCAGGACTCAGAGCTCCCCATGCAAAGCAGCCCCAGGCAGGGGCTCCCAGAGCAGTCCAACCCACCAGTTCTGCCTCTCCTTGACATCCAGCTTCCTGCAAATCCTACAGAGGAGATGCACTGCGTAATATTTATTATAACAACTCATCCTAATCATAGGAAAATGAAGTTTTAAAGAGCTACAGTTACTTAAAGACAAGCACAATATCAAAGATTCTGCTGCCTCAGGCAATCACTGATACCCAAATATCCCAAAAGAACTCAGGACACGAAAAGCAAAGAAGGAGATCTCTTCCTCTCAGAGCCATCCCCTCCCTCTCCTGTTGCTTAGTGCCAACAAGAGATAAGAGCTACAGATTGGAAAAGGCTGGATGCAGCAACTGCAAACAACTACTGTGCAGGATTAGCGTGGAAGTGAAAGTCTCCTGGTTATCTGTCTCTAGGTACGTGCTGGAATTTCAGAGGCTTGGGCTTTTCCCCTCCATGGTCAGAATTGATTAAGCTTTTCCAGGCTTCTAAGCCATTTTTTAACTGAATGGGGAAATGACACATTTGCTTTTCCAAATCAGGCAGACCTCTAGTTTACTTTAAAAGGCTTTTCAATAAGAGCACAGCTGACCAGAATCATAAAACTGGTTTGGTTGGAAACGGCCATTCAGATCAAATCGTACCATTATTCCAGCACTGCCACATCCACAACTAAAACCTGTCCCTAAGAGCCACATCTCCATTTCTTTTAAATACCTCCAGGGATGGTGACCCCACCACTTCCCTGGGCATCCTGTTCCACTCATGACCACCCTTTCAGTGAAGAATCTTTGCTATTATCCAACCTATCCTATGCCCTCTCAGGCATAACCTGAGGTAATTTCCTCTGGATCTATTGCTTGTTACCTGAGAGAAGACTGAGCCCCACCTGCCTACAACCTCCTTTCTCAGAACAGAGTTACTTAATGGAAGCAATTTCCATGTCAAATTTCATCTCTCAAGCAGTTTAGCAATGGAGTTAAGGAACATGAAAATCTTCAAACTAGAGGGGAAAATAAGAGAGAAGAAAATGTTTCTTCTTACTTCACTTTATGATTTACATGCACAGCGCAAGTGGCGTGTTCTTACTGTTAAACAGTACAGCTGTGTTGATGTGAGTTTTTATGCTGACAAACTCTGGAAATCTAAAACCAGTACTGACTTTAAAAAGGCAAAAACCCCCACAAAATCAAGAAACAGTCTGCCCTCTCCCCAAAGCACACGACCACAGAAGCTAAGGAACAAAAAAAAGGGCTTTCTGCACTGTTCTAGCAATCTTACCCAAGCTTTGGGAAGTGGCAAACAAAGATGAAGTACCAAAAGAAACCTTTGGGTGAAAATATCAGTAGTTCAGAGAACAGCAATGCCAGTAGGTACAGCCCTCAGCAGCCACAATGTTATTCTTCATCCAGGAAAAAGAAGTCTTGTTAAAAGCAAAGAACACTGTGTGCTTGGTAGCTGTCTAATTTCATGAAAGTAAAACTGTACCCAGTTGGCCTGTCCTGAAATCCTCCCTCCTGTGCAGCAGTTTATTCACCAGAACTGTGCACACAGCTCAGGGGGAAGCCTGAAGGCCATTGGAAAACAGAATGCTAGAAACTTCTTACAGGTTCTGCTCATATTTTACCTCGGCTGCTTGTCCAAACAGCCACATAGACTGCTGTTAGTCCAAATTTGGACAGAAATGCTTACAATGTATTGATGGTTTCCCTCCCAATGTCTCAGAATACAAGCATGCACCAGTACAGACTCTGCCAGACCATGGACAAGAGGGAACATTAACCCAGCTACCTGCACAGGAACAGGAGAAGGATGCCTACCATTGATGGAAGCCTGTTTTCTAGGTGGGTAAAATGAACTGGATTTCCTTAGCAATGAAGGCCTTGGAGTGAGGCTGTAGAAGAATGGGCATGAAGAAGATGCAGTGCTTCTCAGCAGGAAGTCTGGCCAAGACTTAAGAAATTCCATCTGCAGGAAGTTTAGCCAAGACTTAAGGAACTCAGCTACAGAAACTATGGAGGAATGCCTTTGGAAGGGAAAGCTAATAGTGATAAAAGAGATCCAATATTCTCCAAGACCCCAGATACAAAATAATGTTCAAAACTGGTGAATGAACAGAAACAAAATACCAGAAATGGATATAAAGTTTTTGACATACATATGTACAGCTGTTTCCTTGCCCTGCATAACACCAAAGGATGTAGGTTCCACACTTCTTTCAGCAAAACACACAGCTCTTGTTATCATTAGCCCCTCCCACCCATACTAGCTGCAAATCCACGGGCTGAAGACTATGCCCATGGCAGGGGAAAACAAGGCACACCACCAAAGGTGTCAGAGACACTGGCCAAGTCCCACACTGAGGTTAGACTGCTCTAAGGCACAGCACTGGGCCCGGACAAAGCAGCCTCTTGGTTACTACAATGCTCTTAACACTGGAACAAACAAAAGTGGAAACAGGAATTTTCCTACATATACCACAAAACTTCCATCCCAACAACTCAGTTGTGGAGTCACAGCCTTCCTACTAGCAGTCCTCTTCAGGAATACATTGAAACATTAAGATACTTACTCTCAGACTAAGGCTCAGGACCTAGGTTTGTAAAGGTGCATTACTGTCCTCCACAGGTGCCACGCAGAGACAGAGCTGCAGACAATGAAAAGGGATGCACAAATCTTTACGAGCAAGAAAAGCCCCTCCTGCAGCTATTGCTGGCTGCTGCCCAGCCTGGGGATCCTGCCAGCAGGAACTGAGGAGCAGCAGCAGCTAAAACAGCGGACCGGTGTCTCAGGCTGACAGGGTCGGGTTTTATTGTAGTGGCTGTCACAAGATTCAACTACGAACATATGGAGCTGCATAGCATAAGGTATGAATGAGGGACACTGCCTGGCTTTGTGACGCCCTCAGGAAGCCAAAGGCTTCACTGGATTAACACAAATGAAAGTCAGAAGGAAGGAGATGGTCAAGATCTGCCCAAGATTGACCGCAGAGGAGCACAATAAAAGCAGCACACAACCCCATTCTGTTCTTTAATCTCCAGAAGCCAATTATAAAAAGGGAATGAGGAATGCACCAGAAAAGCCATTTTCCCACATCTCACATAGGAAGGCACAGGAAAACACAGCCCCGCATTTTAAAATCACAACTACGTTACTACTGATTTGCACAAACTGAGGAGTAAGAGGACAAAGTGAGGAGTTAACAACCAGATGCTCCACCTGTACAAAAGCTGCCCCGAATTGCAACAAAGATCTATGTCAGCCTTAAAAATCACTCTGTCTCACAGCTCTCCCCCGGTATTTGTTTCCTTGAATTCCATCACTCCCAACGTGCCAGCTCCTACTTCCAGCAGCTGCCGCCTTCACGCCTGGGAAGCGGGAAGGCCGGCAGCCAGGCGAGGCAGCCGTGCCCGCACAGCCCGACACCGCTGCCACCTCTGTCCCCCAGGAGCCTGCCCACGGAAACACCTTGTCCCCAGGGACACGAGCGTCCCCAGCCTCTGCACAACCCCTTGGGCAACTTGTACGAACCAAGGCGATTTTAAAGCAAGAATGTTCTCAGCAGAACGTGATGTTCAGAAGAAAAATAATTTGTATGTATTTGAAGGTTAAAAATGCCACTTTGTTAAGGCTACAGGATAAATTCCTGCATTTTTCCTTTTTTAAAAATTATTATATTTAGAAACCTAATTTGGACTGCTACTTACTGAACTATGAGAAAGCATAAAATATTTCTAAATCTTTAACAATTTTTGCCACGACGAGTCTTACATTATTAAATTTGTACTTTCTAACATGCCGGACGAAAGTAACCTGCTCCGTATAAGGGTCAGTGTGGAAGCCTGAGAAGGCACTCATGGCAAAGCAGGGACTGACAGACCCTCACATCACCTCGGCCGGCAAATACAGTAGTCTCACGTCTTCCCCACAGCAGGAACACCGCTTGGGGAGAACCAGCCACGCCGTTTACCTTCCCACTCCGCATCACTCTCACTGCCGTCCGTAGCACCACCTTTCCTCAGGGTGCCCAGCGGGAGCGGCACCTCCGCTTTGCTCAGTTTGGAGGAGTCCGTGGCCGGCAACCTCGCTGCGAGACGATGGGAGGAGTAAAGCAGCACCGCCGCCTGTCCTGAGAAACCCCACCTCAAAGCTCGGCTCTCCCCGCTCTCCCGCACGCCGCGAGCCCGAGGCGGCCGAGGGCCAGCGCTGCCCGCGGCCGGGCTCGCCCCGCGGGTGCGGCCGCGCATCCGCCCTGCCTCCCGGCCCCGGCGCGGCTCGGGGCGATGGAGCCGGGCACATACCGGCGCGGCGGGGCGGTGTCCGTGCGAGCAGCATGCTGGAAGCGTGGCCCCGCCGCGCACGGTCCCCAGCCGCCGGGCTGCCCCTTCCTCCGGCGGTGCCCGCGGGATCCGGCCCTCGTCCCACCGACGCCGCCGCCTCCTCCGGGCTCCTGAACGGCAAAGACGCAAACCCACCGTCAAAGTCCATGCTGGGAGCGCCTCCCGGCCCCCGCCCGGCCCCGCGGCGCCCGCACAGGTAGCGCCGGGAGGGTCCCCGCGCCCGCCGCCGCTCCCGCCGCTCCGCCGGGCGCTCCCCGCCCTCCCCGGGGCGGTGGCGGCGGGGCCGGGCGGGGCCGGGGGGCGGGAGCGCCGCCGAGCCCGGAGCAGCGCCGCGGCCCCGACCTGTCCCCCCCCGGCGGCACCTGAGCCCGCCCCGCATCCCCCGTGTGCCACCGGCCACGGCGCTCCTGCCCCGCCCGGGGGCAGCGGGGCCGCCGAGCCGGCACCGGCCCTGCCGCTTAAAATAAGGGAAAAAGGGGAAAAAATCACCCCGGCAGGAAAGCCGCCTCTTATTGGCTTCTCGTCCTTTAAATCCTCCTCCCCCTCTAGCCGGCCCTAGTGAGGCACATCTGGAGGGCTGTGTCCTGGTCTGGGCTCCTCGGTATACCAGGCGCTCCTGGAGAGGGTCCAGCAGAGGTCACAAAGATGTTGAGGAATCTGGAGCACTCTCTGACAAGGAGAGACTGCGGGAGCCGGGCCTGTTTAGTCTGGAGTAGAGAAGACTGAGAGGGGATCTCATCATTACTTATAAATTTTATATCTCAAAGGCAGGTGCCAAGAGGATGGTGCCAGATTCTTTTCAGTGGTGCCCAGTGACAGGATGAGGAGCGATGGCCACAAACACAGCAAGTTCCACCTCAGCATGAGGAAGAACTATACTGAGGGTGACAGAGCACTGGAACAGTTGTTGCCCAGTGAGGTTGTAGAGTCTCCCTCTCTAGAGACATTCCAAAACAACCTGGGCATGTTCCTGTGCCACCTGCTTCAGGTGACCCTGTCTTGGCAGGAGCAGTGGGCTGGATGATCTCCAGAGTCCCCTTCCAACAACCCTAACAATTCTGTGATTTTGTGACACGTGGAAAAGCATGTTCAGAGGATAGAGTTGCCATATAAAAGCTTAGGACCATCACCATTGTGATCACTCAGCTCTGGGACAGCACTGAGGTGCCAGAACATGTGGAGCACACAAGGACTGGTGAGCATTAAAGCAAAGAGAACAGTGGAAAAGACTGGGGGAGAGGCCTGGGTGATGCTTCTCTGATTTTATCCTGTCAGGCAGCATCATATCATGTACAACCACAGAGAAGAAGTATTAATCATACCAAAGCTTTTTAGGGAACACCCCCATTCCAAAAGAAAGCTTCCAGAACGAAGGAGCTGAGCAAACTAAAATAACATTATAAATTTTTCAAAAATAAAAGCTATGCTAAAACTGAAAATTATTTCATAAGAGAGGCTGCAAACAGACACCCTGGGTAAAGCATTCCTGCTTTTTGGGGAGTTCTTGACACCCAAACTACTGTACAATACTCACGAGCACACCTGGGCATCGCCTCTGGGAGGCTGTCACGGAGCTCATGCCTGGCTGGGGCTGGCAAACAGCACCCCAGGACTTGCAGGAGTCTCCTGGCCCTGATGGTGACAGGCCTGGGGACACAAGGCTCATGCTGGCCCTGGCTTGTCCTACAGCAACAGACTGAAAGCCAGGGGTGCTGCAGGGCTGCACACTGTGCTTGTGCCCCCTTAGCTCTGGCTAAGTCTCCTATCTATTTAGGCAGGTTTTATAGAATCAGAGAATCATTTAGATTGGAAAGGACCTACAAGATCATCAAGTCCAATTGGTAACCTGGCACTGCCAAGTCCACCACTAAAACACGTCCCTTAGTGGCACAGCTACACAGCTTTTAAATATCTCCAGGGATGGTGACTCTGCCACTGCCCTGGGCAGATTGTTACAATACTTGGCCACCCCTTTGATGAAGGAATTTTTTCAAATATCCAACCCAAACCTCACCTGGCACAACCTGAGGCCATTTCCTCTGGATCTATTGCTGTTACTTGGGAGAAGAGACCAACCCATCTCACTGCACCATCCTTTCAAGTAGTTCTAAGGAGCAATAATGTCTCCCCTGAGCCTCCTTTTCTCCAGATTGAACACCCCCAGCTTCCTCAGCCCCTCCTCACATGATTGACTCTCTAGCCCCTTCACCCAGCTCAGTTGCCTGTTCCTGGACATGCTGCAGCACCTCAGAGATTATTGCCAAGCAGGTGTCCAATTGTCAAGTAGGTTTCTAACACATTTCCAGTCAGTCATTGGCTTGCCAAGGAATTTCTTGCAGTGTTTTCAAAGCCAAAGAAAATACTACACTGGTAACCTTAGTCAGGAGAAACACTACTGTAACTGTAGCTGCTGGTCACAGATTATCCCTTGCACTCCTGGAGGGGTTGTGCAGTGCAGGGAGAGCCAGGAGATGGACAGGTACAGAAAAATAACATCCCTCTGCTCTCCAGTGGCTGGGAAACCCTCCCTAGCCTGGAAAGTAGGGAGACAGGGAGCAGGCAGCCACCCCTGTACACATCCAACAACAAAATCCAGCAGTTCCTTGTATGAAAGGACTGCTGCTACATCTGCTGTCATCACCCAAAACCACCACACAATATTACACTCATTACTTGCAAACAGTCCACCTGTGAATTAAAAACCCCACATTATTTTACTAATTACTGCCCCTGGGGCCCAGAGAAAGCACTGTGCTGCCAAGTGCTGTGCACGGGGTTTGTACACACTGTGTTTGCTACATCATTTCACCCAGCTCTATTGGGAACCATGCTCCCTTAGAGACCAAAGGCAGAGTTTCTGGGGCTGGGGTGCAACAGGAGACCAAAGCTCGACCCTTAGCAGCAGTTCCCAGAGCAGACAACCTCATGTCCTCGGCAGCTCCAGCTCCTCACATGTGTCATTTTTAAGTGACGAGTTCCCCAGCCAGGATTAAGCCCCTTGGGCACTCAGCATGTGTTGCAAGTGTTGCAGGGGCAGGTCTGAGGAGCTCGACCCAAAACCTGTTAAGGCTGGTGACACTGTGCCCTCTGATTTCAAGGAGCTTTGACTTGGGACCTGCTGACCTGGAAAGATTTTGTGCAGATGTTTTATTACCGCTTTAGCTCACCTGTAGGTGGCTGGAGGAGAAAATCAAATAAACTCCTAGCCCACAGAATTAAAACAAGATGAAGTCCTGGAATGGCAAGGTCACTTTGCAGTAACACAGTGGTATTACTACAACAGTGATTTTTAAACCATATCCTGTTTTTAAACAAGGATTTTGTAACTAAATTTTAAATATCCTTGTATAAGGCTTACGGCTACTGTGCTCTTTATTATTCTAGCCTGGTTTCTAATGCAAGTTTCTACTTTTATCTTCAGCTTTTCAATGAATGCAGCTCCCATTGAGCAACTTGGAGCCACGGGGCAGACATTCCACAGGCTGCAAGCACAGCTGGTGCCTGACTGGATCACTTCACTGCATCCCAATAGATAATACTCTGGGGTCCTGGGGCACTGCTCTTCTCCTGTGCCACCACCCAACAACAAGCCTTGTCCTGAGCAGCAGCACCTCTGTGGGATGTGGCAGGGACAGGGACCTAAGGAGAGGGAGATACATGTGATGAGAACCTCGAGCCCATATTTATTTCTGGGTGCTAAAACGGATTTAATATTTTATTAGCTGTGGAGTTTGCAAGACAGCTGATTATGTTGGGCTGAGGGAAAGCAGGCAGTGTTTTTTAAATGCAGAGCATCCATTTGAAATGACTACAGCCAGGCACAGGCCAGGCAGTTGATGAAATATTTAGCTTGTAAAGCATTTCAGTGTGCAAGGTTGGGGCCGGACATGGGTGCTGTGATGTTGAAAACCACAATACCCAAATCTGAGGTGCCCCAGCCCCCAGCATGAAGGCCTCAAAGGTGCAGCAGTTGCCCAGGGAGTGGGGCTATGGGGCTTCAAGGTTCCCTGCCCTCCCAGGGTGCAGGAAACCTTGGTGGGCACAGACTGGTTTGGGAGGGTACAAGCATCAAAGCCTTTTGTGCAACTCACCTTGCCAGATAATGCTGCCTCTTGCACCCCTCTCCTGAATTTCAGTGGCTGAAAGCATTTTCCTGCAGGGATAAGGAAGGCAATCTCCCTCCAGAATAAATTGTTTTAAAGCAGGTTTTACTTTTTGTTGTCATAAGACCTGGCATTTATTTTATTAGATAGTTTCACTAGTTATTTGCTTATTGGAGTTTGCTAGTTGTTCCTAAATATAGCCCAAAGCCTCTAAATTCTTAGAGCAAGCCCTGCTCTGTGTGTAGCTGTTCACCCCAGAGTGATGTGAAATGGGTGAAACTGGTGCAAACTGAACCACAGAAAGCAGGGAATGGTGTTAGCATTGGAACTGCTGGAATGGTACCTAGACTGAATAGTTCAGCTCTGATGAATCTTCAGAGGAACTTAGGTAAGAAACTGCTAATCTACTTCTTTTTTGTTAATATTTGTCACTTTACAACCTCTGCACCAGACGGCAAAGTTTTAAAGAGTTTGTCCAAGGGTAACAGAATAAATTAAATCTGTTTTCTGCCTCCCTCTGATACAATTTCACAGTTCCTCCACATCTGTGAACCCCTCTCCAAGCCTTCAATTTCTCTTCTCTGTCCCACAGGCCCACAATACCCCACTTTAATTTCTGAACTTATATCCTCTTCTGCCTCAGCTCCCTCCCATTTCACCTGTAAGTTGTGCCCCATTTCCAGTAACCCCAGCTTTCTTCCACATCTTCTGACCTGAGCTGTGTGGTTGGCCAGGTGGCAGCAGTAGCACATGCTCTGGTTTTGCCAAGGTGCTGCTTGGATGGTCAGTCCATCAGTGCTGCTCACCACAGATGCTGGTTCAGATTCTCCCTGCCTTTCCAACAGAAAGCAGAGAAAACACAATCATTTTTCCCAAGCAGTGCTTAAGTTCATTTAAGAAACCACTGACAAACGATGTGGCATTCAAAAAAGGGCTACAAAACTCCATGGATTTATCCAAATCCAACCACCAATTCAATCCCTAGTCAGAGGTCATTGGCTGAAACACTTGCTCTGTTTCTTAATTAATGTTTTTAACTATACAAACAGACACTGGTATTAGGGAGAGCCTCACTGAGGCACATATTTCTAATTCAGCTGAAGA